TTCTTGCGGTTGTCTCTCGTCTTATTGGCAACGGACGAGTTATCGTCGCACGTTGTTCAGGAATTCATATATCTCCTGGCCATTCCGCGTGTATGTAGGTGAGAGCAACACGAATCAATCGTCCATCTCTCCATGAGACGTAAAATGCCGAAATAGGTGATAGGTGACTGTAGGCTACGTGCCAGTTTATACCATCGTAGATGGATCATGGTAAGTGGAAGTGGAAGTGGAAGTAGATGAAGTTATATCTTGTCTGTATTTAAAGAAAAAGCAAGTAAGTAAACATCATTGACACCAGTGAATAAAGAGCTCATATTGAATAACTACCTCACCTTTATCCCAATAACACCTCCCTCTCGCCGCAAATAGCCTGCCGCGACGTTGGACTGGTAGATTTCAAGAGAATATATGTAGTTGAGGGACTGAGACGTATACATAGTACAAACTGGTTTTGCAAGGTAGAATGCTTTGCTACAAATATTCTTCTTTTCGAAAGACTCAGGCAACAAAACATGGATGATGACGACCAATGACTCTAGTCACAGCGCAAATTCAGTCCTCTGACTGAATGATATCTAGATCTTATCTATAATATACACATCCAACCTGCCAGCATCACCAGTCTTCTTGTCCAGAGACAAGCGACACATATAAGATATTTACACAAACAGCAGAAGCACCCAGCCCTAATAACTCCGTGGAAAATGTAGCATAACAATAGAAATAAACGGAAAAAGGAAAACGTGGTAATCGTATTATCGGAACGAAACATCACTGCTCTCGTGATATCATCACTCATGATGATAAGTGGTTGTGGTTTTGGTTATAGTTTTGGTTGTAATTTTGGTGTTGATTTTGGTGACCGACGGGTGCGGAGAGTCAGCCTGCGGTATGAAAGATGGAGTATGCGAAGTAACCGTCAATGCGACTAAGACTTCTGCAAGACTCCGTAAGGATTCGTAGTCTGCGCAGGAGAGCTACCAGCACTGCCCTCAGATTTCTTGACTCCCTTCTTCACAGGCGAGAATCCCTCCTGGCGACCGTTCGCAGCCTTCTTGGCAGCCGAAGAGCGCGTCCTGATCGGAGAGTCCTTGGGCTGGTTGTTGACAGCGGCAGGGACCTTGCCCTTGCCAGCCTGAGCCTTGATAGCTGCTTCGTCCTCGGTAGTCTCGGTAGTCTCGCTGGTCTCGCCGTTGACCTCGACGGCCTTTTGGATCTCGCGGCTGACGCCCTTCAGCGCATCCAGACCGGCCTTCTCAGCGGCGTGCATGTGGGTAGGCTGGGGAGCGCTGGGCTCCTTGCGGTACAGGTACGAACGGACGAAGAAGCGGACGAAGAGGTAGGTCAGAGGCAGGAGGTACGAGACGTTGAGCGAAACGGCGAAAGTCTGACCGGTGGTGTCCAGACAGGGGACCATGCGGTAGTCGACGCCTGGGAGCTTCGAACCAACGGTGGGGACACCAATGGGCTGCTGCTGACCGGAGGCCAAGCCAAGCTTCTTCAACCACGACCCGGAGGCACCAGCACCAGCACTGGCCTCAGGCGCATCCCAGAAGGGAAGGGTGTAGTTGACGAACAAATACGAGGCGGCCATGGTGGTTCCAAAGAGGAATTGGGTGATCTGCATCGAAGTCAAGGACCGCTTGACCACACCGGGGACGCGGATGCGCAGAGCGGTAAAAGTGTAGTAGGTGTACTGCAGTCACACAGTCAGTTAAAGCACACAAAGGGAAACCTCAAGGGGAAAGAAAGTACCATCATCGCATGAATGAACGAGTTGACCAGAGTAAAAATCCAGATCGGCGCCGCGACGTAGCGAATACCAGCCCACATGCACATCATAGCACCGGTATGGTGATAAGTCTGCAAAGTCGAGCTCTTCTTACCCTTAGCCAGGATAATCGCGGTGTCAAAAACCTCGTAAAACTTGGAGAGGTAGAAAATCCAGCCCAAAAAGGCAAGACCCTGGTTCCACAGACGACCATCATCAAGCGGATCCGGGATACCACCCTCAATCAACGAGAACCGCGGGCTGGGCATGGTCCATTGTTCCGTAGTAGTATTGTATAACGCAGCATTGCCATATCCACGAGGACCACCGATCTTGCACAGCGAATCCGCCCACCCAACTAGCCCGTCGGGGTTATTGAAGCCGGGGATCGAATTGCGGAAGGCCCTGACCATACCGGCGAAGGTCCAAGCGGAGTAGATGGCAAGAAAGACATTGTGTAAGATGACGAAGACCTTGAACCAGCGGGTCTGGCTGAAGGCGTATGGCTTGTATCCGCGACTCTTGTTCACGCGATTGAGCAGCACGACGGTGATGGCATAGAGGGAGGCAATGGTAACGGGGACACGGACGTCGAGGAGCTGGTCGTAGAGCTCGGGAGGGATGTTGAATGGCTGGTACCAGGTGGGTTCAGCGAGTTGTGGTGCCGGGAGAGTCGCGGGGAGTTCGTTGGGAGGAAATTTCAGCAGGGACACATGAGGAAGACCAATGCGCACGGTGGCCGGGCCCGACGGGGTGACCAGGTTGTAGTCGAACATGGTGTTTTTTTGGACTGAACTAGTCGAGAGGAATAGAGGAGAAAAGAGGGAAGGAAGAGGAAAAAGGAGGGTGGAGGAATTTTATAGCGGTGATCCGCAGCGAAAGTTGTGCTATACAGAAGGAATGAGGCCCAATTGGCTAGCCCACCGGACCTGGAGACAACAAAAGGCTGAATTGACTCAATTTTGAACTACAGAGTACTCCGTAGATTGACTGAATAATGTTGCCTTTTCCCTTCAGCCTCAGGGTTCTTTTTTTTTTTTTTTTTTTTTTTTGGTGGTGGATCCGCGCGGTGCATTTGTTGGGGATTGGCAGTCCTTCCAACCTCGGCTCCCAACGATTTAGAAGGATTTACATCTTGTGAATCCTGATACATAGTACTACATACTACATACTATGTACTTACTACATAGTGGAAGAACACTCACTGTGGTACAGAACTACTGATTGATTACACCTACTCCATAAAGATAAGATGTTATCCCTGCATTTTTTTTTTCTTTTTTCTTTTTTCTCCAGATTACTTATCCCGGATGACACGTGACCTGTTTCCCCCGATTAGGCAGGAGTAGCGACAACTACGTACCCCGAAGTACAGCTACAAACCAGTTGTACAGTGATTATTCATGATTTAAGGTTTATTCAACAGTGCGCCCCTTCTATTGATACAAGTACAACCATACAGTCACACATTATCATACAATCCTAGGCTTTGAGCTGAGTGGCAATGGGGGAGGTCCTGAAGGAGACGGCGTTTGTACCGACGGGGCCCGGATGTCTGCACGTTTTGGTGGCGGCGGAGGCGGCTTCTTCTTAGCTATGGTCTCCACCCCCGCATTTGATGTGGACGGGGGTGATGCTGATGCCCGTGGAGGTGGTGGTGCTGGTCGTTGACTAGGCTGAGACTTTTGTCCATCCACAAATGTACCAATTCGCTTCGACAGCCCGCTCATTTTCTGTTTGCCGGCATCGATCTTGTCTGCATGTTGTTCGCGGAAATTACCCATCTTCTCTTTCCCGGTGTCGATTTTGTCTGAATGTTGTTCGCGGAAGTTACCCATCTTCTCTTTCCCGGTGTCGATCTTGTCTGAATGTTGTTCGCGGAAGTTGCCCATCTTCTCTTTCCCGGTATCGATCTTGTCTGAATGTTGTTCACGGAAGTTGCCCATCTTTTCTTTGCCGGCATCGATCTTGTCCGCATGTTGTTCACGGAAGTTGCCCATCTTCTCTTTCCCGGTATCGATCTTGTCTGAATGTTGTTCACGGAAGTTGCCCATCTTTTGTTTGCCGGCATCGATCTTGTCCGCATGTTGTTCGCGGAAGTTGCTGATCGTAGATCTGAATCCCCCAGAACCCGAGGCTGGCGGTGAGTTATCTTGAGTATCCTGCGCCGGGGTACTCGTGCCTCGTCCAGGCGGGGGAGGCGGTGCATGTCGATTGTAAGACGATCCCGTTCTCATCTGAGAGAAACGGCTCTGCAGCTCGTTGACAGGGGCCCCCGCTGGTGAGGCAGTGCTCTGCCGATCCTGACTTTCGCCCCCAACTCCAAGAGCAGGAACGGAGACACCGGCATTTGCCAGTCGAGATGTCGCACTCTGATTGACATATCCCTCCGACGCTGGTCCTAGTCCCGGTTGTGGTATCGGCGAGTATGCAGGCGGAGACTGTACGGGGGTGGAATTCGTTCGTGGAGGCAGCCGGGGCGGAAGACTGGGTGGAGGTCTCGAGTTCGAGTTCCCCGAAGACGCAGAACTCCCTGTGATTGAGGAGCCCATTCGTTTCGGCGGTGGTGGAAGATGATCTGTCCTCAGTCCCGTTGTATTGGCCCGATATGGTGCCGGAGGTGCAGCCCGCCTCTCTTCTTCCGCCGCTTGTTCTTCTGCCTCGCGTGCCTCAATATCCGCATCGTATTGTTGCTGTTGATAAATCTGTTCTTGTTGTAGCGGGGCGCCTAGACCACTGCGATCCGGGGTCGTTTCGTTCGGGAGTGCGGACGGGCCGTGGTAGTTGACGTGTTTCGGAGGAGGTCCAAACGATGACGGGTCTTTGAGCGAGGATAGCGGCGTGGAGGTATGTTCGGACTTTTCGCTACTGGAGTCTTTGCCTTTTCCCATCCATCCTGCCTGCATGGAGATTAGTATTTGCCATTCGTGTAGTGATGGTGGTCTGAACTGACCACTTGGTTGATTCCTTTGAAATCGCCTCTCCAGCTTTCTTTTCCACCATCGCGGGCTTTGGGGTGCCAGCCATCTTTCATGATACCTTTGAAACCACTCATTTTAGCGATTCAGTGTGGTATAGCCGGTAGACAATGGTGTAGGTTGGATGATGTTGAACGTCGAGCGACTCCGCTCTTATCTCCAATCTCCGCAATCACGTGTTTCTGCAACCGTCTCGCTACCAGGCATTGCTAGTACTAGGGGCGCCCTCATCGACGTCAATCAGCATCGCCATGGCGCCTGTCACTCGCTATTCGGCCAGAGACCGCACTCCAGGCACGACCCAACAACGGGACAACATCCTGATCAATGGCATCGCCAAACCGGCGGGAATTCGCAAACGACTGAAGCCAGATAAGCCAGATAAACAGAAGGCAGCCCTAGAAGAGAACCCTCCAGAGGATCTGGATGCAACTACGCCAACCTCACTGCTACCGGACATGGACATGGACCTGGAATCAATAGATCAACCACCATCAGCTCTCCCAGAGCCCCAGAACCCAGATGGGCAGCTGGACCATGAGCTGACAGGACATGTTAACACTATCCTGCAAGCCCAGGCTATGAAAGAGAAGGAAGAAGATGAAGATATACTAGAAATTCTAACTCTTTTGGACAAGAAAATCTCCTCCATGAAACAAAAAGAACAGCCTAGAGCCCTCTCCTTTGGCAAAGCTCTGCATACATTCATGCAGAGTTTTTTCACCCAATCAAAGGCCAAGATACATGATCAAGGCCCTACAGCCAACC